TGGCCACCTGATTGATTCTCTCAATTGTTCTTGCCCAGAGGCAGACCTGACCCTTCCTGGTTCCTATGCCTCATCTCACCTTAGTGTTGCAGCCCCTCCCTAGTTTCACGTGTCTCCCCTCTGAGTCTAAATCATCCTGTTATTCTGCGAGGTTGGCTTCCGTGGTCAGGCTGGCTCGCGTGGCCGTGTCTGCCCTGCCTCCGTTCCACCTGCCTTTGTTTCCTGTGGGGCACTGCCCTGTCTGTCTGCCTGTCAATCAAGCTGACTCCTCTCAGTGGTCCTGGGAAGATGAGGGGTTGAGGCCAAGCATCCTAACCCTGGGTTGGGCCTGGGTTCTCTTGTCCTTGAACAACAGCGGGGGTGGCTTTGGGTCTTTGGGCTCCAGCGTGAGCCTCGGGCTCTCAGTGAGATCCCTGCTGGGGCCCTGGGGTCCCCTCTCTCTGGGGGGGGGTCCCTTGTGTTTATTCCTTTGGTCCCTGTGGGGTCCTGCGCTGGCTGAGCCCAGCTTCCACCAGAATCGCCACCAGGATCAGCAAGACCACGCCCGCCAGGCCAAAGCTGATGCTGTTCTCCACAGTGTAATCCCGGGAAGCGGGGCCTGGAAGCAGAGGGCAGGGGTCACTGACAGGTGGAGACAACTGGGACAGGCCAGCCCCTAGGAGGCTGGAGCGCCTTCTCAATGGGGGGGACCTGCCCCTCCCTCTACACCCCTGTGCACACTCCCCGATGGCTGACCTGTGTGGGAGGCCGTTTCTGTGGGTGAAGGTATCACTTCTGTGGGTGGGAGGGTGATGGCAGGGCGTGTTGCTAGGAGACAGGAAGGGGTGATGGACATCTCAGGCAGCTGCTCGGCTTCTCTGGACGCCCTGCCTCCTGATTCCCGCAGGGAACCTCCCTCCATGGGGAGCACCCAGGTCCCGCCCCAGGAATACCTCCACCTTCAACACCTCAGGAGCCCTAGGTGCACGTCCCCAGGTGCCACAGCCAGTCACCTAGAGGAACCCAGGGCGGGCCCAGCTGCAAAATGCAAACCTGCATTTCATCAAACTCCAGCAGGGAGCTAGGATGTCCCCCTCCTGGCTCTCACCACCCCCCCCTGCACCTCCCTCCCGTCAGTCTCCTAGAGGACCCCAGGGCGGGCCCAGCTGCAAAATGCAAACCTGCATTTCATCAAACTCCAGCAGGGAGCTAGGATGTCCCCCTCCTGGCTCTCACCGCCCCCCCTTGCACCTCCCTCCCGTCCCCCCCTCCCAGTTCCCCCACCGGCCAGGGTTGAACTGGTCTCTTGCTGTTGAGGATGTAAATGTCACTGCCCTCCCCGTGTGCCCCACCTTTAGAGAGGCAGAGCCCCTTCCCACAGCCACCCCACAGCGCACTGCCCAGCACAGTCTGAGGAGGAGACGCCCAGGCTTTGGTCCCCCTCCCAGCCCACGTTCAGGGTGAGAGTTGAGGTCTCCAGGGGCTTCCCTGAAAGGGGCAGGGCAAGCACTGAGCCCAAGTTCCACTTTGTCTGCACCACTCACCTGGCCCTTCACTGCCCACAGCGCCCTCACCTGGCCTCTTTCTCTGCACCTCCCAGTATAGACCTTGCCCCCGACATCCACCAGAAAGGGCACAGGGAGAGGAGGACACTGGGGTGGCACCCTCTCTGCTTCCACTTGTCTGAGGGGCTGGCCACCCCTCAGAACATCCCACCACCCTCCTTACATTAGCACAGAGCAGCTGGTCCTGGCCCATGGACACACAGGGTGGGAGCCCCCTGACCTGGCCACAGACTCACAGGGCCTGGACTCTGAGCTCCCCTCACCCGGCCACTGTGCCACCCACAGTCCCCCAGCGCAGGGAGGGTCACAGGGTCAGGATGAACTAGTGGACATGTCAGGCCTGGTGGATGGGGGCCAGCCCTGGGGATTTGCTCCCACCCATGGATATCTGAGTCACAGCAGGAAAAGGAGAGGAGAGAGAAGACACATGGATTTAAAGGAAGAATTTTCCCTCCCTCCCTGCTTGCCTCCCTCCCTCCTTTCCTCCCTTCGTCTTTCCTTCCCTTCCTTCCTCTCCATGTCCTTTCTGAACCCTGACTCCAGTTCATCTCAGGGTCTACCACACCAGGTCGGTGGCAGCCTCACCCAAAAAATGCCACAAAGCACCATCCAGCCCTGGTCATGCCCCTGGACCATGCCACCTGCCCATGGAGGGCGGACCGCAGGGCACGCATTGCCTGGGCCCCACAGAGTCTGGCCAGGGAAAAGGGCAGGGCACCACCATCCTGAGGGGAAGGACTCAGGCCCCTTGAAGGGGTCTGTCCCCACCTGGTGGCTGGAAGCTCAGGCACCACCCAGCCCAGCAGGACAGCTCTGTGTCCCCTCTGGGCGTGGCTCAGGGTCCAGGCCACTGTGGTGTTCAGATGGGGCCAGATGTTAGAGCCCTGAGCCAGGGGCGAAGGCTGAGGGTCATGTGTGCAGGGCGAGGGGAGTGCCAGGACTGGGGGTGAGATGGAGAATAGGGAGCCCGAGGACAGAGACGGCGCAGGGACGGGGTGCAGGGCTCTGGGACCCACCTGAGGGTGGAGTGGGGACGTCCTCCTCTGTCACCTGCAGCTCCAGGGGCTCACTGCGCTTAGACCAGATAGGCGGGTTTTGCCAAATGTATCCTGTGCTATAGCGACAGAAATAACTCCCAGTGGTATCTTCACTCACTGAGGGGATGTGGAATCTGGCTTCTGTCCCCTGCAAACCATCTTGAGACACACTTTTCTGATCATGATATGCATCTCTTCCATCCTTCTCCAGTCGGAAGAACTTAGCCCCAGCTGGGCCCTGGCACAGGAGGGTCACAGGCCATCCCCGGGGGATCACAAGGCCTGGCTCGGCCCTGAGGGAGGGTTTGGGCAGGAGCCCTGGGAGGAAGCAGAGCAGGATCTCAGGCTCCATCATGAGGAAATCTCCAACCTCACACCTTCCTTGTTTTAAGCTGCCCCTCCCATGGTTCTTGGCAAACTTAGAGTTATGCAACTGTATCTGCAATCTAATTATAAGACATTTGCACCATCTCTTCCCCAAGAGACCACCCCGTCTGTCCCCTCCAGGAGACTGACTTTGCATTATTCCAGTGACTTCCCCAGGTGATACAAGGACCCGAGTTCGGGTGACATCCTGGGTTTTTCTCAGGGTGACAAGGAAGGTGTCAGAGCAGCCTGCGGCCTGGGTACATCTACCTCCACACGGCCACTCTCTAGGGGGACAGACAGGGCTGGGAGGGAGGCAAAGGGTGAGGATGAACAGGTCATTCCTGGGGAGAGGGATGCTGCAATCTGAGACATTGAAAATGACCTGGCCAGGGGGGAAGGCAGCTTGGAGAGATTAGGGGAGCCAATGGGGCTTCAGGGCCCCATGGGAGTCTAGAGGGGGTGGGGAGTAAAGCTCATCTCAGACCTGCTCCCAGGACCCCAACTCCTGGGCACGTCCTCTGAGCAGCACTCACTCAGGTTCCCTCTGCATTTCCCACCTTCCTCTCAGCCCATTTCCACTTCCTTGTGACCGAGCCTCCTGAAACCCCGTGTCTAAACTGGGCTGTGCAGGGGAAGAGAGGGCTTTAGCCCTGAAACAGGAAGAAGGCATCCCAGTTACTAGATCCCCATAGAGGCAGAGCTGGCCGAGCCCCAGCGCTCATTCCCTGAATCCTTCGGCCACAGCTCAGCTCCCATCTCTCCCTTTACAGATGCCTCCTTGTGCCATTGGCTCCACAAATAGGAAAACATGCTAGGATCCCTGCCTTCTTGGGGGAAGAGTAGAGGGAGCACAGGGTGAGGGGGAGTGTGCAAACCAAGGCCATGCTGTGATACTCGCCCAGGGCTGAGTGTGGGGGGCTCAGGGCTGAGTGTGGGAGGCTCAGGGCTGAGTATGGGCCGCTCAGGGCAAGGGGGGCAGAGCTGACCTCTCAGAGTCACGGAGGACAGCCCTGAGCTGAGACCAAAGGCCTAATATGAATGAGCCACGCTGAGCTGCATGAGCCCTCAGCCTGGAAGGGGGTCATGGTAGAGAGAGATCATGGTGTTTGTGAAAGTGAAAGAAAGGCTGGTTTCTGAAGGTAACTTAGCCAGAGGGTGTGAGAACAGACAGATCCAGACAAAGAGAGAGGCTGGGGGCTCATTCGAGCTGAAGATGCACCTGGAGAGGACTCTGAGGAAAAGCAATATTTTGCCTGAACATGAAACTTGTATGAAAAATTCCATAGAAAAAGGTGGACTCACACGGCTGCATGAGGATCGTCTGGACCAGGCAGAGCACTGCAAGGGAAGGTCTGGTGAGAACAACGCCCAGCTCCCAGTCCTCCCTTGGGCTGAAATCAGGGGGCCTTCCTGGAGGCAGGGGGCTCGTCCCCAATAATTTCCCAGGCTCCCTCCTCGCCATCCCCTCTGAGCACAATCCTGTTTCCTGCTCTGAGTTTGCAGACAAACCCTCACCCCCTCTTCCAATCAGGTCCTCAGTCAGAACCTGTCCCCACGTCCAGGCACCTGCTTCTAGGACTGACCCTCCCATGGTCACACTTAGGTCAGGGCCAGAGCTGAGGGGCCAGGCCCCCAGGAGGGACCATGAGTCTCCTGGGCTGGAGTCAGACTGAGCAGGGATGTAGACGCCTCCCCAGCTCCCACCCCCTCGGTCCCTGGGATGCGGTCCCTCCATCCAGGACTCACCGAGGCCCAGGAGGGTGGAGGGCCGGGGGCTCATGGCCAGCCTCTCCCAGTCTTCTCTGTCCTTGTCCACCTGGAGGAGGTGACTCTGCCTGGGTGAGGGAGGACAGGGTCCTGCAGGTCAGTGAACGTGCAGGGCGGCTTTAAAGGGACTAAGTCATATGTGTCATTTCCGTGGTTTCTCATGAAGGGAGGCAGGTGCTCCTAACCCGAAATCCAGTTTCCTCTTTTGGGTCCAGAGAGGCCTTGGTGAAACTCTATGAAAAAGTAAATTTCTAGTTTCTTCATGAAGCAGCTTCTAGTGAGGTATGTCCTAACCAGGCTAAACCCATGACCAGATGAAACCCACATGGTGTTAATTCACCAAATAGAGAGACATAGATGATAGAGAGATAGAGAGATAGACAGAAAGATAGATAGATAGATAGATAGATAGATAGATATAAATAGATCCTAGATAGATCTTGAATAGCTGGATACTCAGTTACATACATGTATAAGTTGTTACATGGATAAATACATAGATGTAAACATGGATATAAAGGTAGTTACAATGATACTTAGATACAAAAAACAGATATTGGAAACATAGATATACAGATAGTAAGATAGATAATTATATAAGTTACAGTGTTGAATAAATATTTAGACAGATACACGGAGTTATGTACATACATAGATATTTAGATACATAGTTCCATAGATAGATACATAGATACAATGATAGATACTTAGATACATAGAATCATAGACAGACAATACAGGAAGGGAAACTTAATGGCTCGCCTTCTGGCCCTCACAAGCTGACTGTCCCCCAGCCACACATTTCCTTATGCAAATGCTTCAGTTTCTCAGTGCAAAGGGGAAACCATAAAACTCTCTGACACCTCCATGCTGTCACTGGGGCAGCACAGGGAGCTGAACAAGACACTGGAAGGCTCCAAGCGCTTGTCTCTGTGCCCGGTGACCCTGGGCTGCCACCCGCACACTCCCCTGCCTCCCAGCTGCCTCTGGTTATTTCAAACTGAAAGCCCCCAAGTCCACAGGAGCAAATGCACTGAAGAAAGAGTCATGTTGTCCACACGCTGGTGGACAGGGCTTCTGGGAAGGTTGAGTTTGCACAGAACCACAGGGGTCTGGGCTGGTGGCTGCAATTCCCTCTAGATGAAGATAGGCATTTGTGGGTCCATTTAGGGCACAGAACACAGACACTGTGCCTAGGGAAGGTGGTCCTGTAGCCTCCCCCCTCACAACACTGAGTTGCATCCTGTGACCTCCCAGGGAAGGGGCCCCCCAGGAGGAGGAGACAGAGGAGAGTCAGGACCTGGAGGGAAAGGCCTGAGACTCCTCAGCTCTCAGCCCAGGGATGGCTGTGGAGGCTGCAGCTCCAGGCAGGCCCCAGGCAGAGCTGGGCCATCAGGAGGGCAATGGTGGGGAGTGGGAGGATGGAAAACTTCTGTCATAGTGTCAACAATACAGACAAGATCGTCAGAAGGGGGAGATGTGTACTATTCAGTGACATTTCCTACATTTACCATCTTGTGCAACCATTGCCTCTACCTTGTTCCAAATTATTTCCATCACCCCCAAAAGAAATGGTGTGCCCATTGAATCCATGTGCTGGGGGCTAATTCCAGCAGGTCATAAATGCAAGAAGTTCACCAAAAGGTTGATGAGTTTCTATATTCCTGGGAGAGCACAGAGCTGAGCTAGACATTGGAAGACCTGAATCATATTACCTGCTGCTAAAATAGCTGAAAGCATTTTTCCAAACCTGAAAATGTACATGTTATTAACTGCTGCTGGCCAAACAGCTGAACAGCCGAAGGCAGTTCCCCCAACCAGACAATGCCTACTGTACACTAAACCTTACCTTTGATATGTATATCTGCTTTTGCTTCAGTTTGTGTTAATAAAAAGCTAGGGGTACAGAGATTCATAGAACTTGGTTACTGAAGCTACTTCTCCTCTGGCTCCCCAAAATACCTTCCAAATTCATATTTCATGTCTAGTCTCTTTATTAATTTACTCGAAGTCCTTCTCCAGACTCCTGAACCCTTCTAGATTCAGAGAAAGACCCCAGTACCATGAAGGTCTGTCCCAGACACAGGACCAAAAGGCGTGTATATACAGAGAGATGTATGGGGCAGGATTGGCTCACACAATTCAGGAGTCTGGCAAGTGCAAAATCTGCAGGGAGGGCTGGCGGCTGGAGAACAGGGAGCTGCTATTTTAGCTCAAGCCCCAGCAAGTCTGTCCACAGCATCTGGGATCATTCCTGTTCTCTTCAGCCAATGTGAGGAGGCTCACCCACCTGATGGAGGGCAGTTAGCTCCCCCCCCCCACACACCCCATGTCTTAGAGGCCCCGGTTGGCTGAGCTGGGGATCATGTTGAAACCCAGAGCAGCGAGCTGAGATTTGATAGCCCCCAGACTATGTCTCATGCACCCAAAGAATGAAATCTCAGACGAGAAGATTGAAGCAAAAGCATGGAAACTTTATTGCAAGCAGATTCAAACTCCCTGCATGGGGAGAGGGCTCAGTCATGGTTGCCACTGAAGCCTGTGGTCTAGGGGTACATATTTGCTAGAAACCTGCTCTCCATCTCCCCCTGTGGCCACCTGATTGATTCTCTCAATTGTTCTTGCCCAGAAGCACAACTGAATCTTCCTGGTTCCTAAGCCTCATTTCACCTTACTGTAGCAGCCCCTCCCTAGTTTCACATGTCTCCCGTCTGAGTCTAAATCATTGTTATTTCTGCGCGGTTGGCTTCGTGCTCAGGCTGGCCCACGTGGCCGTGTCTGCCCTGCCTCAGCCTCCCTTTCTTTCCCCCGGACTCTGTCCTGTCTGCCTGCCTGTCAATCAAGCTGACTCCTCTCAATGGTCCGGGAAGATGAAGGTTAAGGCCAAGCATCCTAACCCCCTTAGGCCTGGGTTCTCTTGTCCTCGAACAACAGCAGGGGTGGCTCTGGGTCTCCTGGGCTCCAGCGTGAGCCTCGGGCCCTCGGTGAGGTCCCTGCTGGGCCCTGGGGTCCCCTCTCTCTGGGGGGCTCCCTGGTGTTTTCTCCTGTGGTTCTTGTGGGGACCTGGGCTGGCTGTGCCCAGCTTCCACCAGAATCGCCACCAGGATCAGCAACATCACCAGGATCAGAAACACTCCCGACATGCCCATGCGGATGCTGTTCTCCACCGTGTAATCCCAGGAGGTGTGGCCTGGAAGCAGAGGGCAGAGTCACTGACAGGTGGACACGACCCGGCCAGGCCAGGCCCTAGGAGGCTGGAGCCCACTGCCCCAGAGATCCCGAAAAGGGGACAACCCACGTTGAGGTGTAGGGGACACGCAGGCGGGGGAATGGAGGACTTCAGGGGCTCCTGTGAAGGGGGTGGGGATGCACTGAGCCCAAGTTCCACTAAGTCTGGCCGACAGACTGGGCCATTCCCCTCCAACAGCGCCCACACCTGGCCGCTTTCTCTGCCCCTCCCAGTAGAGAGGATGCCCCGAAACCGTCCCCCCCCCCACCCAGAACGGGCACAGGGAGACAGAGGACACTGGGGTAGCTCCCTCTCTGCTTCCACTTGTCTGCGGGGCTGGCCACCCCTCAGAACGTCCCACCACCCTCCCTACATTAGCACAGGGCAGCTGGTCCTGGCCCATGGACACACAGGGTGGGAGCCTCCTGACCTGGCCACAGGGTCACAGGGCCTGAACTCTGAGCTCACCTCACCCGGCCACTGTGCCACCCACAGATCCCCAGGGCAGGGAGGGTCACAGGGTCAGGATCAACTGGGTGGACACCCCCAGGCCTGGTGGATGGGGGTCACCACAGGGCTTGTGCTCCCACCCAAGGATGTCTGAGTCACAGCAGGATGTAGAGAGAGGAGAGAAGATACTCGGATTTAAAGGAAGAATTTTTCCTCCCTGCCTCCTTCCCTCCGTCCCTCCCTCTCTCCCTTCCTCCCTCTCCATGTCCTTGCTGGACCCTGACTCCAATTCTTCTCAGGGTCTGACCACACCCAGCCAGGGGCAGCCTCATCCAAAATTGCTCCAAAGCACTGTGCAGCCCTGCTCAGGGGACCCCATGGAGCACGGGACTTGCCCATGAAGGGTGGAGCCCAGGGACACATTGCCTGAGCCCCACAGAGCCCGGCCAGGGGAAAGGGCAGGGCAACACCATCCTGAGGGGAAGGACTCAGGCCCCTTGAAGGGGTCTGTCCCCACCTGGTGGCTGGAAGCTCAGGCCCCACCCATCCCAGCAGGACAGCTCTGTGTCCCCTCTGATACGGGGCTCAGGGTCCAGGCCACTGTGGTGTCCAGATGGGACCAGAGTCCAGGGCCTTGAGCCAGGGGTGAAGGATGAGGGTCATGTGTGCAGAGAGAGGGGAGCCCCAGGGCTGGGGGTGAGTAGGAGGGCAGGGAGCCTGAGGACAGAGACGGGGCTGGGACAGGGGGCAGGGCCCTGGGACCAACCTGAGGGCGGAGTGGAGACGTCCTCCTCTGTCACCTTCAGCTCCAGGGGCTCACTGGGCTCAGACCAGCTATTACGTGCTTTTTCATAGAGGCAGCGGTAACGCCCAGCAGTGTCTTCACTCACCGAGGGGAAGAGGAATCTGGCCTCTGTCCCCTGCGAACCATCTTGAGACACAATTTTCTGATCAGGGCGTACAGATCCTCCATCCTTCTCCAGGCGGAAGAGCTCAGCCCCAGCTGGGCCCCGGCACACGAAGGTCACAGGCCGTCCCTGGGGGACCACAGGGCCTGACTCGGCCCTGAGGGAGGGTTTGGGCAGGACCCCTGGGAGGAAGCAGAGCAGGATCTCAGGCTCCATCATGAGGAAATCTCCACACCTCCTGGGTTTTAAGCCTGCAGCTCAGTGGTTCTTAGCAAACTCACAGAGCTGTGCAACCCTCACCACAGCCCAATTCTACATCATTCGCACCATCCCTTCCCCAAGAGACCACCCATTCCCGCTCCAGGTAACTGAATTCTCATCACTCCAGTGACTTCCCCACGTGACACTCGGACTTGAGTTGTGGTGACATTGTGGCCTTTTCTCAGGGGGACACGGGAGGTGTTAGAGCAGCCTGGGGCCCCGGACATGTCTCCCTCCCCACAGCCACTCTCCAGGGGGACAGACAGGGCTGGGAGGGAGGCAGAGGGTGAGGATGAGCAGGTCACTCTTGGTGAGAGGGAGACAGGAGACTGAGAGGGTGTTTCTGAGTGTCCTCAGCTTGGCTCAGCCAAATGGGAGCATCCGCAATGGGCTCTAAAAAACAGTCTGATCCCACAATGCCCCGGGGTCTGTTTCTTGGTGATTCCAGGAGACACAAATGCAAAGCCCTCCCCCCAAGTCACTGCACTTAGCCCACTTCACTCCTCTTGCTGGGCCGGGTCAGCATGCAGCTGGGGAGATTGCGGGGACCAATGGGGGCTGCAGGGCCCCATGGGAAGACTAGTGGGGGTGGGAGTGGACACCAGCCCAGACCTGCTCCCAGGACCCCAGTGGTGAGGACCCCTGACTCCTGGGCACGTCCTCTGAGCAGCACTCACTCAGGTTCCCTCTGCATTTCCCACCTTCCTCTCAGCCCATTTCCACTTCCTTGTGACTGAGGCTCCTGAAACCCCAAGTGTCTAAACTGGGCTGGGCAAGGGAAGAGAGGGCTCTAGCCTTGAAACAGGAAGAAGGCATCCAAGTTACTAAATCCCTAATAGAGGCAGAGCTGGCCGAAGCCCCAGCGCTCATTCCCTCATTCCTTCAGCCACTGCTCAGCTCCCATCTCTCCCTTTACAGACGCCTCCTTGTGCCATTGGCTCCACAAATAGGAGAAACACAGGAGGGTCTCTGCCTTCTTGGGGGAAGGGTGGAGGGAGCACAGGGCTGAGGAGGAGTGTGCAAACCACAGCCATGGGCTGTGATACTCACTCAGGGCTGAGTGTGGGAGGCTGAGGGCTGAGTGTGGGAGGCTGAGGGCTGAGTGTGGGAGGCTGAGGGCTGAGGGGGGGAGGCTGAGGGCTGAGTGTGGGAGGCTGAGGGCTGAGTGTGGGAGGCTGAGGGCTGAGTGTGGGAGGCTGAGGGCTGAGTGTGGGAGGCTGAGGGCTGAGTGTGGGAGGCTGAGGGCTGAGTGTGGGAGGCTGAGGGCTGAGTGTGGGAGGCTGAGGGCTGAGTGTGGGAGGCTCAGGGGTGAGTGTGGGAGGCTGAGGGCTGAGTGTGGGAGGCTGAGGGCTGAGTGTGGGAGGCTCAGGGGTGAGTGTGGGAGGCTGAGGGCTGAGTGTGGGAGGCTGAGGGCTGAGTGTGGGAGGCTCAGGGGTGAGTGTGGGAGGCTGAGGGCTGAGTGTGGGAGGCTGAGGGCTGAGTGTGGGAGGCTCAGGGGTGAGTGTGGGAGGCTGAGGGCTGAGTGTGGGAGGCTGAGGGCTGAGTGTGGGAGGCTCAGGGGTGAGTGTGGGAGGCTGAGGGCTGAGTGTGGGAGGCTGAGGGCTGAGTGTGGGAGGCTCAGGGGTGAGTGTGGGAGGCTGAGGGCTGAGTGTGGGAGGCTGAGGGCTGAGTGTGGGAGGCTCAGGGGTGAGTGTGGGAGGCTGAGGGCTGAGTGTGGGAGGCTGAGGGCTGAGTGTGGGAGGCTCAGGGGTGAGTGTGGGAGGCTGAGGGCTGAGTGTGGGAGGCTGAGGGCTGAGTGTGGGAGGCTCAGGGGTGAGTGTGGGAGGCTGAGGGCTGAGTGTGGGAGGCTGAGGGCTGAGTGTGGGAGGCTCAGGGGTGAGTGTGGGAGGCTGAGGGCTGAGTGTGGGAGGCTGAGGGCTGAGTGTGGGAGGCTCAGGGGTGAGTGTGGGAGGCTGAGGGCTGAGTGTGGGAGGCTGAGGGCTGAGTGTGGGAGGCTCAGGGGTGAGTGTGGGAGGCTGAGGGCTGAGTGTGGGAGGCTGAGGGCTGAGTGTGGGAGGCTCAGGGGTGAGTGTGGGAGGCTGAGGGCTGAGTGTGGGAGGCTGAGGGCTGAGTGTGGGAGGCTCAGGGGTGAGTGTGGGAGGCTGAGGGCTGAGTGTGGGAGGCTGAGGGCTGAGTGTGGGAGGCTCAGGGGTGAGTGTGGGAGGCTGAGGGCTGAGTGTGGGAGGCTGAGGGCTGAGTGTGGGAGGCTCAGGGGTGAGTGTGGGAGGCTGAGGGCTGAGTGTGGGAGGCTGAGGGCTGAGTGTGGGAGGCTCAGGGGTGAGTGTGGGAGGCTGAGGGCTGAGTGTGGGAGGCTGAGGGCTGAGTGTGGTCCCAGTCTTCTCTGTCCTTGTCCACAGGGAGGAGGTGAGGGTCCTGCAGGTCAGTGAACGTGCAGGGCGGCTTTAAAAGGACCAAGTCATGTGCGTCATTTCCGTGGTTTCTCAGGAAGGGAGGCAGGTGCTACTAACCCCAAATCTAGTTTCCCCTTTTTGGGTCCAAGAGGCCTTGGTCAAAGTATATGAAAAAGTAAATTTTAATTTTTTACACAGCAGTTTCTAGCGATATACGTCCTAACCAGGCTAAACCCCTGACCAGAGCAAACCCACATGGTATTAATTCACCAGCGATAGACAGACATAGATGATACATATAGATAGATAGATCGATAGATAGATCAATAGATAGATAGATAGATAGATAGATAGATAGATAGATCCTAGATAGATCCTAGATAGCTGGGTATTCAGATACATAGATATATAAGTTATTACACAGATACACAAATTGATAGATACATAGATAAATACATAGATGCAAACATGGATATAGAGATAGTTACAAAGGTACTTAGTTACATAAATACATACTGGGCTACATCGATAGATATACATGTTGTCAGTTACATAATTATACAAATAGAGAGTTGAAGAGATATTTAGATAGATACACAGATAGTTATATAAATATATTGTTATTTCGATACATAGTTACACCAATAGATAGATACATAGATAATTAGATAGATACGTAGTTACATAGATAGATATAAAGATACAATGATAGATCCTGAGATACATAGAAACGTACATAGACCATACAGGCAGGAAAACTTAATGGCTTGTCATCTGGCCCTCACAAGCTGACTGTCCCCAAACCACACATTCCCTTATGCAAATGCATCAGTTTCTCACCTGCAAACGGGAAACCATAGACTCCCCTGACACCTCCATGCTGTTACTGGGGCAGCGCAGGGAGTGGGGGGGGGGACACAGGAAGGACTCAGCCTGCCCCCTCATGTTCTGCAGGGCAGGTGGCACCGGGCTCAGGCTCGATGCCCGTGTCTCTGTGCCCTGTGACCCTGAGCTGCCACCCGCACACTCCCCTGCCTCCCAGCTGCCTCTGGTTATTTCAAACTGAGAGCCCCCAAGTCCACAGGAGCAAATGCACTGAAGAAAGACTCATGTTGTCCACACGCTGGTGGACAGGGCTTCTGGGAAGGTTGAGTTTACACAGAACCACATGGGTCTGGGCTGGTGGCTGCATTCCCTCTGGATGAAGATAGGCATTTGTGGGTCCATTTAGGGCACAGAACACAGACACTGTGCCTAGGGAAGGTGGTCCTGTAGCCTCCCCCCTCACAACACTGAGTTGCATCCTGTGACCTCCCAGGGAAGGGGCCCCCCAGGAGGAGGAGACAGAGGAGAGTCAGGACCTGGAGGGAAAGGCCTGAGACTCCTCAGCTCCCAGCCCAGGGATGGCTGTGGAGGCTGCAGCCCCAGGCCGGCCCCAGGCAGAGCTGGGCCATCAGGAGGGCAATGGTGGGGGAGGGGAGGATGGGGAACTTCTGTCATAGTGTCAACAATACAGACAAGACCATCAGAAGGGGGAAAAGTGTACTATCCAGTGGCATTGCATCCATTCACCATCTTGTGAGCCATTGCTTCTACTTCATTTTAAAATATTTTCATCACCCCCAACCCCCCAAAAGAAATGGGGTGCCCATTGGATCAGTGCAGGTCTGTCACAGACACAGGACCAACAGGCGTGTATGTACAGAGAGATGTATGGGGCAGGATTGGCTCACACAATTCAGGAGTCTGGCAAGTGCAAAATCTGCAGGGAGGGCTGGCGGCTGGAGACCAGGGGAGCTGCTGCTGCAGCTCAAGTCCCAGCAAGTTTTCCAGCAGAATCCGGGTTCAGTGCTGTTCTCTTCAGCCCATGTGAGGAGGCCCACCCACCTGATGGAGGGCAGTTTGCTTCCCTCCCATGTCTTAGCGGCCCTGGGTGGGCTGGGCTGGGGATCATGGTGATACACAGAACAGCAAGTCCAGCATTACTTCACAGGATCAAGTCTCAGGAACCCTAAGAATAAAATCTCAGACCAGAAGATTGAAGCAAAGTCATGGAAAATTTATTGCAAACACAGTAGGACTCCCTGCATGGGGAGTGGACTCAGTCATGGTGTCCGCGGAAGCCTGTGGTCTAGGGGTATATATTTGCTACAAACCTGCTCTCTATCTCCCCCCGTGGCCACCTGATGGATTCTCTCAATTGTTCTTGCCCAGAGGCAGACCTGACCCTTCCTGGTTCCTATGCCTCAGCTCACCTTAGTGTTGCAGCCCCTCCCTAGTTGCACGTGTCTCCTCTCTGAGTCTAAAATCGTCCTGTTATTTCTGCGCGGTTGGCTTCCGTGGTTAGGCTGGCTCACGTGACAGTGTCTGCCCTGCCTCCCTTCCACCTGCCTTTGTTTCCCGTGGGGCACTGCCCTGTCTGGCTGCCTGTCAATCAAGCTGACTCCTCTCAATGGTCCTGGGAAGATGAAGGTTGAGGCCAAGCATCCTAACCCACGTGGGCCTGGGTTCTCTTGTCCTTGAACAACAGCGGGGGCGACTCTGGTCATCTGGGCTCCAGCGTGAGCTTCGGGCCCTTGGTGAGATCCTTGCTGGGGCCCTGGGGTCCCCTCTCACTGTGGGGCTCCCTTGTGTTTACTCCTGTGGTCCCTGTGG